AGTCCTATCGGTCCGCTCGGCTCTCCGGATCCAAGTTCTCCAAATCCACCAAATATGCCGGGTCCTCCAAGTCCGCCAGGTCCGCCTGGTCCTCCTGGTCCGCCAGGTCCTCCTTGACTGCCTGGTCCTCCCTGACCACCCGGTCCACCAGGTCCTCCAGGCCCGCCTGGCATGCCAAGTAAACCAGGACCATCAGGGTGAGCGGACATTTCAGCCATACCAGATAAACGAAGTCCAATTGAACCTCCTCCTCTTTCCTGATCGTCGAATTCCGTCACAACATCGTCATTTAAATGTAATGGATGACCGATTGGAACATTAGGCCAGACTTCTTGGCCCCGGATCAAAGCGGAAAATGCCGGCGATGAAGAAGAAAAGGAAGAAAAAGGCGATGAGCTTGACGATGATGGTGACGATGAAGATGGTACTGAAGAACCAGAGGACAGAGAGGATAAAGAGAACGAAGAGAATGGGTTCATAGGCATATTTCCACCGATATGCGTTCGAGAAGGAGGCCATTCGTTGGATGGATTGTGGATATGCCCAGGGCGTCCAAAGTGACCATGAAACGGTTGTCTATGATTATGATATTTGTGCATTGGACCGAAAAAGTCGCTTCTATGATGTCCTTCACGCCAACCCATGCTTTCATGGCCTAGAGGGTCATTGGCATCAGCGGGAGGGCCAAGGCTTAGAGAAGTTATGTCATCTATGGAAAACTTGTAGAATAAGAAAGGAATGTCAGATATATATTGTTCTGATATATAGTGAGGTAAATTGTGATAAATTGTACATTTTACTATAAATATATATTGTATTTACCAGAAAGCTAATGCATATAAGGTAGTCATCTGCTATAAGTTGTGGATGCAAGGGACCCCATTCGGATTGGCATTGTTTCTAGACCAGCCATAGTAAGTTAGTCAAAATACTAATATTATACTAAAAAAATGATCCATATTTATTTTTTCTGAGTAAGTTAATAACATTTCAATGGGCCCAAATAAGTAAGGCACTGGAGTTATCAATTGATATCGTGAAAGCGATATAGAGGCGAGACATATGGGACAGACAAGCTCAGCCATTCCAATTGTTAAAATTGTTTTTACTTGCCTGCAGACGATTTTGCATAGGGCATGCTACTTTATTGGAGAAACTTTCATTGTGATGAAAAGAATATTAAGGCTTTAAGTGAAACGATTCAAAGATAAATATTGTAAAGGTTCAAGACGTAAGAGGCATATAAATGTCAGATTTTTTTATCATTAAAGGGAGATTACATACTCTAACCACATAACCCACGGGCTCTATATATTAAATATTCATTATTACCTTCAAAATAAAGATTACATCAGGAACAGTTTTATGGATAAATTATTACAGATGATGGAGAATGATGCTAACATCAAGTTTTAAGGCTGGAAGGCATTCAAAAAGCAAATGATAGTTAAAGTTAAACATTCCTATAACGTAGATATGATGACCAATATGTTTTGAATCTCCGTAGAGATAGGCGTCTACGGTTTGTTCAGGTAACACGGGGTGATACGAGGATAAAGGATGGGTAAATAGCACAGGACGAAAAGAAAGATACAACAAGTGTTTAGCAGAAAATTGGTTAAAGGGTCAATCTCACTTTTCTCTTTCACGATTTGTAGCGTGGTGCTAAGACAGACAGGACTCACTGAAGATACCGACTTCGATGCCGGCGCAACGTTTGGGAATTCTCCAGGTGCACGGTCCGACTCTGGATATTATCATGCATACTAAGGACTCCGGAAGAGGTGCGCTCCTCTAGGTCTTCCTGCCAATATGACCAAGTCGCGAAAACAAGGTCAAATAACTTATATAAAACGAAAGGAGACGGCGACCATGAAAACAGGCCACATCATTCTGGTCTTTATACTTTCTATTGGACTATGGAAGTAAGATTTTTAAACAATGCAACGATTACAACCGGACAGAGAAGGAACGTGTAAATCAATCCCGTCATTTGACATTTTTGATATGTTGCAAACATTATGGTATCTCTCCCCGGTTATGCAATATAATGAGGAAGTGTCATTCAGACACAGTTAATGAAATACTTTATCACGCCTTCATCCAGAAATTAGACGTAAGTTACGAGACTGAGGCGTAAGCTATTTAAGTTAATAGATATTGAGTCTAGATTTAGAAAGGATCTAGGTCGGGTTCTCACTCCGGACGATTTTCAAAGACTCGTCAGTTTGACTGGAAAGAAGTCACAGAGGGTCCGGGATTTGACAAATAAGCGGCATGACAGAAAACTGCTTATATATGGGATAATAAGACAGCGCAGGATTCAGTCAAACCGACCAAATCGTGATGTTTCGGTATTGACGGCATCCACTCCTCCCAGAGACGATGAGGATAAGGTAGTGAACTTATCCTATATCTTTCTTACGTCCGAAACGGTGGATCTCCGAAAGAAGGAGTTAAATTTTTCACTCGGTAACGAACAAAAGATTTTAGAAGATATCCTTGTAGAAGTAATGGACATCTAGGAGAAATACCCTGAAGAGACCAAACGGAAGGTGGAAATGGAATTAATCCCGATAATTTTGTCACAGTAAGAGCCAATGAAAAGGAGTGGATTAATGAAGATACGTAGAAAATAAGAAATGAATAGCTAAAAAGTTCTTCAGGCAGATAAGGGAGGTGCGACGGTAATAATGGACAGGCAACCGTACGCGGAGAAAATGAAAACTAGCCTAGGCGACCGGAACACTTATCAAATAGTGAAGAAAATGTTGCAATAAATTCATAACAACGGAGAAATCAACAGATAGATGATGAATTATTTAATAAAAAATGACGCAAGACCACCAACAGCTTACGGTCTATCGGAGAGATGCAAGGAAGGAAAACAACTAAAGTGAATAGACAACAACAAGGATGGAGCAACACACAAACTGGCGAAATGTTATGCTTGAAGCTTAAGAAAGTGGACGACAGAGGATAGAAAATTGAGAAGAATTCATATGAATTTTCTCAAAGGATAAAAAATATTGGACTGGCAGGGACGGAAATGTTGGTAAATTTTGACGTACTATCCATATGCACAAACATCTCAGGCGAGAAGAAAGTCATCGCCCTGCTGGAGGATATCTTGGAAGCAGATCGGATACGGAAGGAGTAGTTAACACGATTACCCAAACTGACAGTAAAAACCACCTATTTTACATGAAACGGCAATATCTATGAGCAAATATTTGGGCTACCGATGGGATTTTCACTCATACCTCTTTTGTCAAATGTATACATGGACGGATTGGCGAAGGAATTTCATAAGTCCCGCTGCATCCAAAAGTGCTTATGAGATAGCTGGACGACTACTTTGCACTTTGGCCGCATGGTAAGAAAAATTTAGATGAGTTCCTCAATTTTATAAACTAACTTGACGGAAGAATTAAATTCACAATGGAGATGGAGGAGGATTAACGACTACGCTTCCTGGATGTTGAGCTATTCCGATCCAACGGGATACTCATGAGGAGACTATTCAGAACGAAATCACATGCGGCAATAATCCTCAATTTCTGGTCTTATCACAACTATAGACTGAAGATCGGGATATTAAAGAGTTTGACCATCGGAAGCTTAAGACTAAAGGATACTGAGTTCTTGAATGAGGAGTTGGAGAATTTGACTCGGATTTGCCTTAGTGATGGGTGCACTAGAGAATTGATAGAAAAAAATGTAGAGGTTATAAAGGGCAGATTTCAACTCGGATTTTATGTAAATATGATCAGGAATCAGGAAGACGACCAAAAGTGGATACGCCTGCCCTCTTTTAAATTGAGCCAGAAATTGCGACCGTTGCTAAGACAATCAAAAAGCAAAGTGATACCAAACGAAAAGGCATCACTCCTCACAAGCCTGCCGACGCAACACGAGAAGGTTGACAAACTGGATTGATCGGTAGTCTACAGCATCAAATGTAGCAACTTTGAGCAAAAGTATATTGGTGAAACAGGAAGAAAAATCAGCCTACGAATTAGGTAACACCAAAGACTCTGCATAGACATGAACACTGAAAGGTCCGAAATAGCGGAACGCATCGCACGGATGGGGCACGAATTCGACTGAAATGCTGGCTGCATATGGTGGAAATAAAAGAAGGCGCAAGATACGAGAAGCCTTCGATATCTTGGCTGAAAGAATTGTAATCAACAGGAGAATGGAGGAAGGCAGAATTAGCGAAAACTTTGAATACTGCCTAAGCGATCTCGGAGAAGATCAGGGAACAGCAATATCAGCAAAGAGAAGACTACTGGATCAAGGTAATATTTTTAATCAAAGTTATGAAGACCAAGATGGTGTGGAGCTAGTTGGCTGACGGTAGGTCTGTTGTACCAGATACGTGGTTCATGTGGCAAAGGGGTCACCATGACACTCAGAGGCTTGCGCCTCGAATTAGTCACCCAGACGCAGGGGAGGGCGAAGAACGCCTCGAGTAGGACACATGTGGTGGCAGGAGTCGAGTGAAATAGGTGAACAAGGGGTAGAGCAGACGAATTTTACGGAGCAAGAGAGAGACTGAGATAAGACTAGGAAAGAGGACCACATAGTAATAATAAAGCAGACTCTGATCAACATTCCCTGCATAAGGATGAAAGGGGGGGTCGAGAACGACAGTTGGAGTGTGAAGGTGTCATGTCGCTCAAAGGGGCACATCACACTATATCTAAATAAACACGGTAAAAATGGTAATAGTGAAGGCATGATAGGATGCTACCGGAAACGCGAATAACCCAGGGCAGAAGTAGAGATACCACAATTGTTCAGCACACGTTTGGCCAAAGGATCGGCTTCACTTGTCTCTTTGACGAGTTGTTGTATGTTGCTAAGAGTGGCGATAACAAGGTCAAACAACTTTTGTAATATTTTTAATTTTACGAAAATAAATAACAAGGAGACCAGAGCAGATAAGTCAGAAACCAAGAGGAGACGTCTACAGTGAGCCTATTCAAATCAAGTAGAACCGGCATATTTGGTGGTCGGCACTCAAGAGGAACTGATAGACTTAGTATTAGAGAAGTGGGTTGACCTGGTTGTCGCAACTTGGTCTTGTGTTCAGGGAGACTATGTAGAACGCACCGAGTC